TATACTCCACGAGTATGCCAAGCAAAATCTCTCAAATAGATCAAGTTTATCATGTGATTCTCATGACTCACCAAGGTTCCCGACCAAGCCCATGCCGGCTCGAGTTCCAAGGTCGGCCTATGAGTTTGGGCGTCCCCCATGTATCATGTAAGTGTCGAGGAGATTCACTCCAACGACGTATGCAGCCATAGTCTACCGTGTCATGTATTCAAGCATTTGACAGGTTTAAACATGTATTTCAGGTCATGTAAACCAGGCACCCCATGTCAAGCATGAGTCATTTGTTTCAAATGAGAACGAGTGCGATAAAGAACACACTCGACTCCATTTTTCAAAACCAAGTAGGCTAAGCATGTAATCAGGTAAGCCAAGCATGAATCAAATCCATAGAGTTCAAGTAGTCATACACTTGACACTCACCGAGCAAATCAAGAAGAAATATTTTCTGGAAGTTCAAGTGTGCACGGTAGGATCCTCTTGAAAGTCCTCGTGTGCGCCTGAACAAATAATAATGTGTTATCATTCATATATCCCAATTATCAAGGAAGATTGTACACTAGTACAATCTAAGGAAATTTCACGAAAACAAACCTCAATTACTCGTAAATCGAGATTCAACTGAAGTTTCTTAAAGTACAAGGGCGATCGAGTTTTCATTTTAGAAAATCAAGTATAAGACGTTCAAGTGCTATCGAAGGGATAAGGAGTGCTTGCAAACTCCCTTCCTTTGGAATTTGAAAAATTTTCAGTTTTGATACGATATTTTGAAAAATCGTATCTCACATTCTACATGTCAAAAATTGGAAAACTTGGTACCATTGGAAACCTCTTTGTAAGTACTAAAAGTTCTTAGAAGACACTTTTCCATGAATCTAAGTGGAAGGTATTCAAAAATGAGTTTAAAGTTACTGTTCCAGAATACTCAGAATTGAGCCAGGGTTGGTTTTTCATTAACTTTGGAAATTCGGCAGAATTCACACGTTGCTAGCTAGCCTCTGAAATTCATAACTCAATTAGAGTTGCAAGTAAGGTATACAACAGAAAAAGTGGATCAAGGATCGGAGTTTCGAGCACCAAGATATGGTAGCTCAAAATTGGGGAAAATTCAAGACTGTTGAACAATTTCCAGATTTGGGTTTCCGACTTCGGACCTTTAGTTAAGTGTCGAAACGGACTTGGATTGGTACTAAATTTTGCAGTATAGTACTTTTATATGAAGGGTATCTCTCTATCAATTTTCGTGGAAAAATACCTTCGGGAAGGTCATCAATCAAACAACCAAAGTTTCAAAAATCCTAAGACAAAACTGCCTTGAGCCTTTTGTTTTCCATTCCAAACATTCGGTCAAGGAAAAACTCCTCAAACATGGCTCATTAGTGTAGGCAAAGCCTAAGGAACATTCTTGGCACATTTCATAAGTGTTTAGCACCAAAAATATTCAGTTAGCAAGTCTACACCAAGCCTTGCATCAAATCTGTCCAAAAGTGAGGGTTATCAAGAGCAGGGCAGGTTCCGTATTTTGATCATAAATCACTCAAATTAACTCGGAATTGGACATAGTTTATGGCGTTGGAAAATAGATTCATAGAGTTATAATTTCACAGAAGAAATCATTTTGAATTTCGGCACACAACTAGCTCGAAATCGAGCTTCAAATCACAGCTTCTGTATTTCATTTCAGCAGAACAGAGAAACAGAACAGCTGAATTCAGAAGAGTGGTGCAGCTCACACACATGGAACCAGAATGTGCATTTTATACCGTTGGAAAGGTGGGAATGTCTAGTTTCAAATGCCATTGACGGTACTTGATTTCAACATCGGAGCACGGCGTTATGGACAAAATACAAACACTGGTCTGAGCATTACGGAATCAGTTTCCAGATTACTAGCTTTGGGAAATAAATTCATTTGACCAGCCAAAACTCAGTATTTTTCAATGAAAATTTTTATACAACTACTACAACATGTAAACAACACAATCAAGCCATTAAATCCTCAAAGTTTCGCATTAAAGTGGCCGAACAAAGCAGGGGCAAAATGGTCAGATTTGGCCTTTGCATCCTTCATGAATTTCCATCAATTTTCCACCAATAAACCACTAATTTAGGCACTAATCCAACATTAAACCCAACATTAATCATCACATCAGCCATCAAGACAAAGGGTGGGAGTTCATAGAGACCACCTTCCAATTTTTTCAACAACAACAACAACCCATATGAAAATTCAAGCTCATAAGTGTAATTTAACTTCCATAGGACAAGAATTTTAGAGTGGATCATTACCTACTTTGGTCGATGAACAAGTCAGAAATTTCGGCCCCTCCTTGCTCCTAAATGAACCATGAAAAGCTCCCCCTTTTTAGCTAGATGAAATCTCCAAGTTTTAAGCTAAGTAGTGTTAAAATTTGAGAGGATTTGATAGTGATTTGAGCAAGATTTTAGAGCGAAAAGTTGAAGAACTTTGGTTGTTTCTTTGCAGCTTGATGGCTGGCCAAGAGAGCTAGGAGAAAGAGAAGTTTGGTCTGACTTTTTGGCTTACGAAGGAAGCTTAAGGATTAAGAGTTTAGATGCGCAAAAGTCAACCGCAAATAGTGCGCATACGCTCGCGTTTTGTGCTCGATTTCTCTTGCATTTATTTCACTAGTGCACTAAACCTCTAATGCACTTATATTTATACAAATATTATTCACTCTTAATTGTCCCAAAATAATGGTCTAAAGTCCCACAATTAAGCGCGCGTGTGAAAACGCGTATTTCCAATTTAGGCGCGATAAAATGAAACCTTCAAGAAATTCTTATAACGATCGTACCACCAACTATCACTTGAGTACTTAAACCTAAATTTACCTATTTTAAAACCATTGTACATGTCTCCAAATTTTCAAACTTATTGTACTCTCAATCGGTTAAAATTTCCAAACACGTTTTCGCTATTTTTACTAAACGATCTTCCAAAAAATTAATTTTTAAAACAAGTCATTTTAAAAATATAATGAAACTATAATTCCATATATTTAGGTCTAATAAGGATAGAAAATAATATTCGGGGCAAAAATCCAAATAGATAATTAATTGAGCCAAAATTAGGGGTTTAAAAATAATAATTTTACGAGTTCTCACGTGAATTGAGTATTAATTTCTCAATTAACCTTTCTTAATCTATTATTGATCATTCTTAATTCTCCAATATTAATACACTCCCGATTCAAGTATAGCCTAGAAAAACGTGCACCCGTCGTTCCGGACTAAACAAATTTTCGAAAAGCGAATTTTTCAACAAAACATTTTAAAAATATAAAGAGGCGTCGTTCCATATAAATGGATTTAAAATGGTCAAAATAAATAATTCGAAGAAAATGAATGAATAATCATTTAAATATTCCAGTAATATGCTATAAAAATAAGAAAATTTTCGGGTCCTCACATCCTCCCCTCCTTGTAAGGAATTTCGTCCTCGAAATTCATACTTAGAACAATATCATTCCCTTCATGGTTAAGCCCATAGTTATTAAAACCAACCCGGACATCAACCCGGCAAGAGGACCGGGTTGACGGGTCAGTGGTTCAACCGGTGGATCACTGGTTGAACCGTTGGGTCACAATATATAATAAAAAAATATATAATATAATTAAATAATCATGTAAATTATAATATAATTACAGAAATTCTTAAATCCCAACAAGTTATAACCTGTTCATAGTTCATAGTTCATAATTCATTTCACACACATAATCCATAACCATATGTGATCAACAATTCATGAATTCAAACTAAAATCAGTAAATTACACACAAATATAAATGATAAATATAAGTATCAAACCATGAAACATAAGTCATAAACGACCAATTCAATACAACCAAACATAAAGTCATGAACATAAACAACACCACAATTATCACTTGAGTAGTTCACTCCATCTATTATTCATGCCCATGGTTCCCAACTTCTGCCAAATTCAGTACCACCAAATTCATTTACATCACAGCCCACATTAAGATCATTTCTTTCAACATTCTCTTCATTATTGGTCTCATCTTCATCTCCAGTGTCCAAATCATCCAAATTTAGAGTTTCATCTACATAAGTACAAAAATCAATGAATTATTCTCTAAATTTAGATAATATTTAGCCAAAAACGAAAAACAAACTAACAAAGAATAAGCAAGCATATGGCTCAAATAGAATAACTCACCACTTTGTCGGTTGATAGCAAATGTAGCTATTTCATTCCTAAAGCTTTCTAATTCAACTGGAGTTAATTGTGAAGGTTCATCATCCAAAATCCAAGTTTCATTGGCGCTGAAGTCCTCAAAATCAATAGGATCATAATTTCTACCCCTTGCATTTCTAATAATACAAAACATTAAAACTAGTTAAATAACAAATGTCGTCATATTAAAACAAAAATCAGATTGCAAAATGTAGTTTACCTTTGTTGTAGTCTTAAATTGTAGTGTACATAAACCAAATCATTTAGTCTTTGATGCTCCAATCTATTTCTCTTCTTTGAGTGGATATGCTCAAATAAACTCCAATTCCTTTCACAGCCAGAAGCACTGCAAGTTTGGCTTAGAACACGTATAGCTAGTTTTTGCAAATTAGGTGCAGTGCTACCATAACATGTCCACCATTCATCTATTGCAATAAATAAAGGAAAAAAGTCAGAATATAATATTTTACAATTAAAATCAAATCATCAATAAAAATGAAGTTAATTTTTGGGTACCTGGAAGCATGACATCACGATCTCGTATAGCAGAGACTCTACCAAAATCACCTTCAGCTTTACGAAATAATCTCATCTCTCCGGTCAAATTACTCATCAAATCAGGATTTGCATAAGAATATCTCTCAATCACATCCAAAAGTCCTGATGTTGCATGCCTGTGCTTTTCCAAATCAAGAGAATTATATTGATAAGCAGGATTGAGCCAATAACCGGCAGCATGAAGATTTTTGTGAAGCTGACTATCCCATCTTGAATCAATTATTCTTAAATAAGGATCAACTGTTTTTTTTTTCTTGTGAATCTTCTCAAAAGCTCTTCTCTGGCTCTATGCATGGCAGCATACAAGTATCCCATAGCAGGCCTTTCATCACTATCAACAATTCTTAGAACTCGAACAAGAGGCTCAGTTAATTGAACTATTATAGCACATTCTTTCCAGAATATAGAATCTAGCACAAGATCCACAAATTTTTTTGCTTTACTCTCCTTAGCATATGCTGAAAGAGTCCATTCTTTTGAAGTCACCATAGCTCTTAAAGCATCTTTTTGCACTAAAATACTTTGCAATGCAATGAAATTAGTAGCAAAACGTGTAGGAGCAGGCCGAATAATTTCTTTTCCACCAGTGTGTTTTCTCATCAAATGCAATGGATAACAATGATTATAAATGTATTTTGTTATTTTTGAAGCATGTCCAACCACTTTACTAACCTCATCTAACTTGCCCATATCATGTAGCATCAAATTTAGACAATGAGCAGCACATGGAGACCAATAAAGTGTTGGAAATTCCCTTTCTAATAATCTTCCTGCAGCAACATAATTGGCAGCATTGTCAGTGACGAAGTGTACCACATTTTCCACCCCAACAAATAAAACCACTTCTCTAAACAACTTATACAACATCTCTGCAGTCTTAGAAGCATCCGAGGCATCAACTGATTTCAGAAAAATAGTTCCTCTAGGACAATAAGCTAGAAAGTTGATGAGAGTTCTCCTTTGTTGGTCAGTCCATCCATCAGCCATAATAGTACATCCAGTTTCTTTCCAACTTGTACGAAAGCTATTAACAAAATTCTTAACTTGCTCAACATTTTTTGTCAATAAATAGCCACGCAAGTCATAGAAATTAGGCGCTTTGTAACCAGCCCCAAAAGAACAAGCAGCATCAAACATTGTTTGATAATATGCAGAGTTTGCTGCATTGAAGGGAATGGAAGCATCAATCATCCACTTCGCAACTGCCAAGTCAACCTTCTCTTTAGTTTCTTTGCTTTGCATCACACTTTTGATGGATGGTTGACCTCCTGGAGTAGCTCTTGGCATAAAAAAAGTCCCTATTGTTTTTCCTTTTTTGTGTTGTTGAAGAACTTTTTTTCCTTTTGAAACTTCACTAGTGGGAGGTGGTTGAATCTCTTGAATATCTTCTACATCTTGCATGTATACCTCCTCTTCATGTTGTCTTAGATCTTGACCATATAAATCACTTCCCCTTGAGCGTTCTTTCAAGCTTCTTTTCTTGCTTTCCACAGCTTTCAAGTTTTCTAGCATTTCAAATCTAATCTGTTCATCAACCTTCAGACAAGGTGTTGTCTCCCCTTTTAAGCCTGCAAGGTGCTGTTTGAATCGATTGATACCACCTCCTCGAATTCTTTTTCCACAATGAATACATACCAAGCACTTAACTTTTTTGTTGGACACAGAATCTTCTCTACAATGAGACCATGCAGGGTCTGTCTTTCCCCTTGTTAGAGGTTGATTTTGAGAATTTGATGTACTAGGTGTTGGTTCTGCACTTGGTGTTTGAGACGGTGTTTCTCCAATAGAGTCCATTACAAGCTATCTGAAAAGTAATAAAACATATCTTTTATTTAAAAAAATAACATTTATAGCTAGGAAAATGACATTTATATATGCTTTCTAATTCAGAAACGAAAAAGTGAAACTTAAATGCAAACATAATGGAAAGCTAAATGCCTTACTGTCATTATCCCTTGAAAGTTCGATTGAGATGGATCCATATCACTATTCATGATTTTGATGTTTGGGGAATGAAATGAAATATGGTATCAAGATTCAAGCTATGGGAGGAATCACAAGAAGAATTAAACAACCTTTGTTTATTGTATCTTGTATATTGATTTCTCTATATCACTTTTTTTTTTGGAAAGAAAAACTACTAAATTATATATGGCATTCCCTTACTACATATAGAAGAAGATGAAAAAGGAAAAGAGAAAAGAAGGTACTATGAGTTATTACTACAAATATTATAAGAAGTGAATGTCCTTTGTATATGCAATCAAAAAATATTTGCCCCGAGCTGCATATTAGCCATTAATATCATAAAATTTTTTGGTAATTCAAGGTGTCTCGACTAATTTAATTGTGCAAGACTAATAATTAAAAAAAACTTATATAGATTTTATTTTGTAACACAAGTTACACAACCTTTCCCAATGCCTTTCTTTTTAAATTTTTTGTTGGATAATATTAAACATAATCTATCGAATAGCTAATGTTCACGTATCCTAATTATTTTTGGCAAGACCAATTCACATGCAATTGATCTAAATCAACGTTGAAACAAAACTCAATTCAGATTATTTGGCATGGTTTAATTTAGAGCAGAAATTCGATGTATGTACTCAAATAAAATATAGTCACATGCTAATGCAAGAATCTATGTCGCATCAGTTATCTGTCATTTTTTTTTGGTGGTACATTTTGCAATTCAGCTGAGCCAATATTGAGGAATAGCTGAGATTTAATTTTTTTTTTATGGATTAGGGATATTCTTGAATACTTAGCTTCAAATACTCTCGAATTAGCTGTTAAACTTGGGCTTGAGGTATTTGCAAGGTGAAATATGGCTCAACCTCTTTTTTTTAACAGAATGGGTTCGTGGCCTTCGGCAACAGACGTAATTAAAATGTCAAAGGTTAAATTTCCACTTTCTTGAAGCATGTCATCAGTTAAATTTCCGTTTTAGTTACCTTCAAGGCTTCACTGGTGCTGTGGTCTGTCCGTCTGTGTCCAGCTGTAACCGGCAACAAAGCTTCAGCCTTCAATGGCAGCTTCGGTGGCAGCGGCAGCTTCCTAGAAGAATTCTGACAGGCGGCAGCGGCTGCGGCAACTTCGAACTTCCAAGGTGCCGTGGTGTGTGTCCAACTGCAACCGGCAACAAAGCTTCACCCTTCAATGGCAGCTTCGGTCGCAGCGGCGCTTCCTGGAAGAATTCTGGCAGGCGGCAGCGGCTGCGGCAACTTCGAACTTCCAAGGTGCCGTGGTGTGTGTCCAGTTGCAACCGGCAACAAAGCTTCACCCTTCAATGGCAGCTTCGGTGGCAGCGGCGCTTCCTAGAAGAATTCTAGCAGCGGCTGCGGCAAGTTCGAACTTCACTCTCAGAGGCTAGAGCAATTAGCAAAGCAAAGGAAAGAAAAATTGAAAGCTGTAGCCCTGAAAAATTGAAAGCCGAAAAATTGGAACATTGCTTGCCGAATCCTTAAATGCTCAAGAAGTTCTCAAATCTCAATTCGTTCTCACTTCTCAAGAGAAACAAAGAAGAAAAGAATCCCTAAATGCCTAAATCCCCAATGACGGCCGAATGCCCAAATGCCCGAATCCCTCTTCAATTTTTCTGATTTTCTCTTCTAATTGGCTAAAAGTGTAGCGAAAAGATGATAATGCCCATGTACTGTGAATGGTCAAAATAAAAGAATTGGGTAAAATGGTAACTTCAAAAAAATTGCCAAAACCCACCGGATTTATCAATAACCGCCGGTTCTAGCGGTTCCATGGTTCAACCGTCCGAGTCGAACGAGTCTAGGCGGGTTCTTTGCAATTCCGATCTAACTAGTAATCCGGCCCGGTTTCATGACCGGGTCACCGGTTCGACCGCCGGGCCGGGCCGGGTTTAATAACTATGGTTAAGCCTATCAGATCAATCATTGACTTACGTTTTCCAACTCACTCCAAATCATGAGTTGATTACTTTCTTTCGGGAGATTTTAACTTTCAGAAGGCATATACAATCACCTCATCATATATTATTAATATACATTCTAAACCATCCTTTGAACCATCTGTATAAATCACAAAATCACCTCATCCACTCGGTAAAGCCAACACAAGTGCACTGGTTAAACGATTTTCACCTTCAAATTCTTCCTCACATTTAGAATCTCAAATAACTTGCCAAGTCTCGTATCCTTAGAAGTCCCTGATCAAACCAAGGTGATATTCAACTACCTCGAAGAACTCCAAATTTCGGTAAGATTTTCTAGTCATTTCCTCTTAAATAGCTTCCACTTAAGCTGCTGCGTTAACAACAATCTCTTCCTTAGATATTATACAACTTAGAAAGGCTATTTCTTCCCATCGAACTCACATTTATTGAATTTAACAAAAGTTAGCGTTCTCTCGGCATTTGTAAAACTACCATCAGGTATTATTTTTATTTTTTTTCATGACCTTCTCCAACTTTAGGGTATATCAATACGTCATCAATAAATGCCATCACAGATTAATCCTATTACGATTTAAAACCTTGATGCATTAATGCAATAATTGCTGCTAATACATTAGTCAACCCAATTGGCATAACTGAAAATTCAAGCATCCCCATCTTGAATTGGAAGTGGCTTTAAGCACATCAGTTTCTAGGATTTCCGGTTGGTAGTAATTCTACTTTAAATCCCTTATTCGCTGCTCCTGACCCTTGATTATAATTCTCGTTTATGTGAGACTATGGAGTATTTGTTCTTAATAGTCTCATCGTTTAAATCTCAATAATCTATGTATATAGAGCCTCAAGCATCCATTCCAAATATAACATCCGGTCCTTAATCGTTAGGCTCATTCAAGCCATCAAATATTTCCTTTCACTCACCCAAATCTCACAACTTTTAATATCTCAAATTGGCGGTCAAACATTGGATCCCATCTTCAACCCTAAGTTCTCGACTTTTTTTTTTCTTCCCAGAATTCAGCCAATTTAGTTTGGAATTCCAACTCCTTGTGAAGAACTTCTATTTCTATACGCATCTCTTCCAAACTTTTTATTCATCCATTTTCTTAATCCTGACTGTTAGCCTATCAACAGCTCAAGCATCTAAATAAGTAGCAAATCAGAATTTGAAGCTCAACTATCCACAACCTGTAAATTCTCACGCATCTAAGTCATCCAAGTATATTTACTCTTCTCTCTCCTCGAATGATACTTAAGAAAATCTACGCACACGACTAAAGTAATACTTCTTGATATAATGATATGTACTTCCATTCTAAGGTCTTACTCACGTGTGTAGTGAAACCATAAATTACACGCCATATGAAACAAGTTCCAAATCCTAACAAAAAAAACTGTTACGCACTAGCAGGACCAAAATCCCTTTCCTCAAAATTTTGTCTAAATCAAACCAATCATGACTTACAAGATAAGGTCAAGACTTTAGATGTATTTTGAATGTATTTGTGGCAAAATGCAATTCAAAATTTTCAAAATTAGAGTTAAAGATATAAATTTCTTCATGACCCAAAACTAAATTTTCTTAGTAAGAGATTTCAAATAATGTTTAACCACAATCATCAATACATATTTAAAATCTCTCAAATAGATTTAAGAATATTAATCATGCAACTTAATGCATGATTTTTTTTAAAACATATACATAATAATCATAACATATACATGGAGGGTGTTCCAACACTTTTCCTCAAAGTTTCGAGTTAAATCTATGCTCGAGTAAGGCGTATATTTTACAAAATACCTTTAAAAAGATAGGTAAACATGTAGGTTCATATTCGCATAACCTGTGATCCAATACCTTTACCACCCTTTTATCCAACCAAGAGTTAACTCTACTGGTACATAAAACCCGATCATTTCTAATCTCTGATTCATAACAAATAGGCATTCATGTTCCTAAGAAAGATTCGAACTTGAACTCTATTTGATTTCGAGTCTCAAACGAGTTCAAAATGTATATACATATATAAATTTTGTGAAATGTAAAACAAGTGAATCTGGGTATAGTATTAGTCAAGTAAAATTGAAAGCGCTTTTGTTCAAGTAGAACAAATTGGTAATGAGTTCAAGCCATCTCACCAAACCCACGAAATACTTTTGGAGTTCAAACTTTCACAAAAGTTAAAATATGGCCACATGACCAATCATAATATACGTATAAAGCAGCTATTAAAATTTCACACAGGAAAATCTCACTAAGTTCCCAACTAGGTTAATCCATTATACACTGGTAGATCTAATCTTTTGATTTATTCTCGATTCATATTCAGTACTAGGATCTCATTAAATTATATAAGACTATCCATCAATTTTTCTCATGAGTACAAGGTTGTCTAAGCCCTCGGCCACGACCCCTTTTTTCTATTCCTGCTACCATACTTAATAGGAGTCTATAAGCGCAAGAAAAGGAATAATTAATCATAAAAGAACTTAATGCATATACAAGTTACAAAAATATTTAGAATCAAGACATGATTCTTTACATGTATCGAAGGTTATAGTACGAGTTAAGAAGTCACAAAACAAGTCCAATCTGTCAAATACTGTATATAGGCAATTAAGGGTCACAAAATGTAGAAGTATATGCAAGTGGGATACGAAAGGTCTCACGGCGTGCACCACCCCTTTCTAAGTCCTTAATTAAACCAAAGGGTCCAAATATCACTAATTCCAGTTAGATCACATGCCTTCACGAAATTAGATCCAATCAAACCATAACACAAGCGGAAACCAAAGGTTATCCATTCGAAATTCAAAATCTTTAATAAGCAAGCCACCAACCAGAGCACCATCATCTCCAAAA